TTTTACCTAGCAGGTGTTCAATAATATTTTTCCATAATACAGGAATGTATTATAGTAATGATATAAGAGGATATTTGTTAATGCATAATACATATATTTTTAGCCCATTTGTATGATATATCTTTGTATATGTGCAGTTGAGATTGTTAGAATGTATGCAATTTAAGTTATCTTTGTTTTGAAGATAAAGAAGCCAGTTCTTGTCATCTCTATTTCTAAATTCCAATTTCATTTTGGATTTGAGGAGACCTTAGCTGGCTTTCAGACTTGAAAACATTGCTTGGAAATTACTTTACTGCCGTTTTTCCTCCAAGCTATGCTTTCTAATTCTGTGATACAAAAAAAAACTATTTTGATTTTGTTCAAAACTAGAAAATAGGATATGTATGCCAGGGAGACAATACAAAAGTAGACAATGTATTCATAATTGCCGAATCATGATTTAGTTATTAGGAACTTTTGAATGTGTGTGCGTGCCTTTGAATCAGTTTTTACCTCCCAGTGACCACCTGAAGAAGTCCTTGCAGTTTTCTTAGCAAGATTTTATGAACTGGTTTTCAATTGCCTCCTTCCTAGGGCTGAGTTATTGGCCCAAGATCTTTAGGCTTCATGCCTAAAATTGGACTAGAATTAACAGTCACCCAGTTTATAGCCTGATGCCTTGACCACTATACCAAACTGAATTACATTATGAACTTGTTATATTTGCTTTAGTCAAATCTCACTGGGTCTTTGTTTCCAGTCCCAGTTTAAGATACAAGTATTAAACAGCAATAGTTATCATGAATGGAAACCCTGGTGCTTGATGGAATGCATATTCTATATTTTCACATCCATTTCCCAAGATTATATTTAGAATCATGGTTTTAGTATTGTTTTGTGCTTAGGTACAAAAAATGACTACCCAGATGCAGGCCTTATAGTTTACCACCCTGAGTTGCTAGTTCAATATAGGCGACTGTATAAATTAAATAAATAAATTACAAAATTAATATCTCTCCAGGGACATATAGAAATATATCCAAAATTAATTAATTTGAAAACAAGAATCATTAGTTAATATAGGTAAAAGTAAAGGTTCTCCCCACACATATGTAGTAGTCGTTTCTGGCTTAGGAGGTGGTGCTCATTTCGGTTACAAAGCCGAAGAGCCAGCGCTGTCCAAAGACGTCTCTGTGGTCATTTGGCCAGCATGACTAAATGCCAAAGGCGGGCAGAATGCTGTTACCTTCTCACCAAAGTGGTCCCTATTTTTCTACTTGCATTTTTACATGCTTTTGAACTGCTAGGTTGGCAGAAGCTGGAACAAGTAATAGGAGCTCACTCTATTACATGGTGTTAGGGATTTAAACTGCGGAACTACCGACCTTTCTGATCGACAAGCTCAGCGTCTTAGCCACTGAACCACCACTAATGTGCTAAATATCAATAGAAACATTACAAATATTCCAGCTAATGTTTTTATTGATCTTATTATATATAATACAATTTATTCATTTTAATAAATCTAATTTTTTGTTTGTTTGTGTGTATGGTGTAAGTTGCCATGGGAATATCTAAATTAGAAGAGCAGCATCAATAATTTAAAAATAAATGTACAATTGAGCTAGATACCCTTCTGATATTTGTGGTTAGTTTACTTTTAATGTATGTACACCAATGGTTTGTTCAGCAGACCATGGTTATTAAAATCATGGATTAGAATTAACTCTAAATGCAGCCAATTAGACAAGCTTAAGATTAAAATTTATGCTTTACGTCAGTGGTTCTCAACCTGTTCGCAGAGTTAAGTCTTGGTGGTCCGTGACCACAAAGAATATTTAAAGGGGTTCCATGGTGAAGAAAAGGTTGAGAACCACTGTGCTCTGAACTTTTTCTTGAATTATTATATAATATTGCAAACAGTGCTATTTGTATATTGCAGTGTTATAAGCTATAGTCCAGATGGTATCCAACATGCTGATGTTTTAAAAGCAGCTGATATAACGAGGGGAAAGGAAAGAGTTGTCAGATTAAAAGGATCATCAATAAATAACATGTTGGGTTGGGCTCATGCAGTATTGTCCCCATCCTCATATCAATGGGTACCAGATCTAGGATAAACCATATATGTATATGTGTGTGTGTATATATATCTGTATCTATATCTCACATATACATATATACATACATCATACATACATACATACACACATGCACACACACACACGCACACACACACACACACACACACACACACACACATGTTCGGGTCTTTTCCTGTGTAAGATTAAGAGTATCTTGGCGACGTTTCGGCGAGGTCCCACTCGCCATCCTCAGGCTGGTGCTTTCGGCTTTGTGCCAGTGCAAACAGTATGTGATTGGAGCTGCCGTCTCTATAAAGACGGGGGCTGGTGTGCTGGGCTGGTTGGCTGCGCTGCTGCCTCTTGATTGGTTGATGGGGTTGATGTTGGTATAATGGACTGTGTGATGGCCTGGTGAGTTTTGTTGTGGAGGTATCCTGGATCTTGTGTTGTAATCTCCTGGGTCTTTTGTTTTGTAGTGATCTTTTTTCCATTAGCCTCTCGTGTTTTAACGGCTTGGGTAATGGGTTGTGTGATGGGCTTGTGAGTTCTTTTGTTGTGGTATCCTGGGTCCTGTGTTGTAATCTCCTGGGTCGTTTGTGTTTTGATCTCTTTTCCATTAGCCGCCTGTCTAGTAACGGCTTGGGTAATGGGTTGTGTGATGACCTTGTGAGACTTATTGCTGTGGTATCCTTGGTCTTGTGCTGTGATATCCTGGTTCATTTGCTGTGTTGCAACTTCTTGAGTTCTTGTGGTGTAATTTCCTGAGTTTTCTGATGTGATATCCTGAGCGGGTGGCTGTGATGTAGCATTCTGGGTTTTAGTCTGGCGTCGAGTTTGGGGTCTGGGTCTGTGTTCTTGGCACGTGTCAACTTGTTTGGTTTTGGGGTTGGGGTGTGTGACAGCTGGCGAAGCAGCCGTGGTCTGTTTTCTAGATGGTGGTTGTCCTTCGTTTATAGGATGGGCTTGGGCCTGGGTCTGATGAGGGGGGTTGGCGGTGATGTCCTGTGTTGTTTTGGGTCTGGTGTTGGTTTTCGTGGCTGGGACTTGTTTGTTGGTGAGGGCTAGCTTCCAGATGTCTGGTAGGCGGGAGGTATCGTCCCGTCTATTCATGTTATGGGGGTGTTTCTCTATCTCGATGGCTTCCCTGATTATTCTATTGCTGGAGTGTTCAGTGTTGGATAGTAATTTATATCCAACTTCCTCACACACCTCAACAGCCTACACCTCAAAATACAATTCACCATGGAAACAGAAGCTAACAATCAACTTCCCTTCCTAGATGTCTTAGTATACAGAAAATCCAATGGCTCCCTAGGACATACCATCTAGCAGACGAAAACACATACAAACCGCTATCTACATGCACTCTCACACCACCACGCAGCACAGATCAATTCTGTAGCCGAGACACTCATCTCCAGAACAAAATGCGTAGCCGACGAACAACACCTAAAAACCGAACTACACGCTCTCACTAACATACTAACAGTCAATGGATTCCAAAGAAAGATTACCCACCTAATTCAAAAAGAAACCCCAAGCAAAATCTAAGACAGAGAACAAGAGAACGGCAAAGCCCTCCTCCCATATATAAAAGGCACTACAGACAAAATCAGCAAGATCCTTCAAAAACACAACATTAAGACAGGATTCTGCACAAGAAGAAGAAAAACCACCATCCTAAGAAACCCTAAAGACAGAATCGAGTTAGAAAAGCAAGGAGTATACCAAATCCCCTGCACCGCCTGCCCCACCACATACATTGGACAAACCAACAGAAGAATAAGTGCACGCATTGAAGAACACAAGAACTCAATCAAAAAGAAGAACCGACCTCTTCCCTGGTCCAACACCTCAAAGCCACAGGACATGAGATTGACTTTAAAAATACCAGAACTATCGCCAAAACTGAACACTTCAACAACAGAATAATCAGAGAAGCCATAGAGATAGAAAAAACGCCCACACAGCATGAGTAAACGAGATGATACCTCCCACCTACCAGCCATTTGGAAACCTGCCCTAATTAACAAATGAGTACTTAACATGAAGAATGACACCAGACCCACACCCACGAGGGCCACACAAGATGCTACCACCAAACTTCCACGTAGAAAGCAGACTCATACCCACACAGATGATGAGACATGACCACGGACCAGAAGCCGTACTGCAGCTGCACCCAAACTGATAACAGTCTTAAATACGTTTATCTACCCAAGTTTATTTAGATTATTACTTTTGGAGCTATGGTACTAATCAGACAGTGCAGAAAGTTGATAAGGTTATGGTAAAGAATGGGATTAATGTCTTCTGGCTGTACAATCAAAACTATTTCATTGATGGTTAGTGTTCAAAACCACTGTCTCCAATTTTCTTTTAGAATATCCACAACAGAAGTTCAATCTGAGAAGTTTATTCATTATCCATCCGGACTGTGATTCTCCGCCCCCTGCTAAACAACTTGTGGAGAAAGAGAATTTCCCCCCAAATTAGGGAAGTAGTTTGATGTAGCGATTAAGGTGCTAGCCTAGAAACTAGAAGATTGTGAGTTCTAGTCCCACTGTAGGCATGGAAAATGCCTGGGTGACTGTGTCAGCCACCATTTCTCAACCCAACCCACTTCGGGTGATTGTTGTGGGGAAGATAGGAGGAGGAAGGAGTATTGGTATGCTCGCCACTTTAAGTTGTATATCTTTTTTAAAAGGCAGGATAAAAATCTAAACAAGAAGAGCTATTACCATTTTTAATATCAAATAGCATTTGTATCTCCTAAACATTAGCAATGAAGTGCAGCAGGATTTTCTCTGAAATTTATGTCAAAGAATGAGATCTGCTTTCTTTTATGAGCAGGAAGAAATATTCTCGGTGTTCTGAGAAATGTGAAAAATATATTATTTTAAAATTATGATTTTTTTGTATTATCCTCTGCAGAGTATTGGCAAGGGGTCTTTGTGGTGTATAGACCCAGAATATAGACAAAATCTTATCCAGGCTTTGAAAAAGACACCCTATCACCCATATTCCCATGTGTTCAGCACACCTCCAGCATCTCCTCAGGCATATCAAAGGTAAGAAAACTTGAATATATCTTTATATGAACATGGCAAAGTCTGTAAATCAGCTATGTACTGACTTCAGGTTTGCAAGTGAATTCATCTGTTCAAATATGTTAAATCTAGAAGGAATGCATACATGCAATTTTTAAATAAGTAAAATTTAACTAATGTATGATAAGTGGCCGAAGTAGAAATGAGCAACCTGCATCCAATAAATGGCATGTAATCCTCAGACTGATAATTTATTTCCTTCTTTAGTGTTCACTACTGCAAAATCAAGAATCAGATCAATTTTTTAAAATATTTAGCGGTTACCTTACCATATAAGCCTTAGAATGTATTTAAAAGAATAAAATAGCTATTGGCCTCACAATTCTAAGATACCTCTGTTCAAAAAGTAGGGAAAAAACTAGGAAAGTACTGCCCTGCTTGTCCCAAAGGTGCCTTTTCAAAAAAACAACTGGACTTTGTTTTTCCTTGAAGACGTTTTGTATTCTCATCCTCATCCAAGAAGCTTCTTGGATAAGAATGCAGAACATCTTCAAGGAAAAAAAAATCTAGTTGCCATTAAAAAAACAAACATCTTTGGGACAACCATGACCTGGATTACTAAGAATCTCCATAGACATACTGTCCTGCTTATGACAACTTCTTAGACATAATTAAAAAAAAAATGCTGGGGCTTGCAGTCATATCAAGGTTATTCCCACCAATTGATGTTCAGAGTAAGGCTTATTCAGCATTTTTCTTTGAGTGTATCAAACTACCTGAATACATTGAGTGGTCCTCTCAAAACTACATGATAATCAACAAAAACTAGAGCCTGCCAATCCCAGTCATATATGGTTGCATTAATTATAAAAAAGGTAGGTCCCCACCTGTTGCCAATCCATAGGTATTCTTACAGCCCTACTTTGTACTATAGAATTTCTTACCAGTTTTGATGAAAATCACATGTCCACTTCAATTAATTACTCTATGTTGCACTGCTTCTGTAATTATTATCAAAAATCTCTGTACTTGTGTTAGAAGCTGTGAAGTATAAGAAAAGATTCCAGCTTTTCATGTAATGCTTTCATGAGTGGATAGATTGCTGCCGAATCTTTCTCTCTAATGCTATGTTTGGAAGATTGCCTCATTATAAACTTTGGCTTCCAGGTGATGAAAGTATGTGTTTTGTTTTGTTTTTAAACTGCTGCTGTTGTGGTTACCTGCTCTGCAAAGCAAATGTGAGCAATTATGTTAGTTGCCATAGTGCTTTTCTGTTTGGTAAAAGGGTCAGTCAGGTCTGGTAACTTTAAAATAGCAGGAAATAAAAAACCTTCATGGATCAGTTTGTCGTTTTGTTCTACTGCAGTGGAAAAAAGGTATGGCAGATGTAAAACCTGCCACATTTCAAATCTGCTTGAAAATATGTGATTTGTTATAGGAAGTTTGGAATCCATAATTGCTGTAGCACTTAGCATGATGTTAGATAGTTATGAATAATAAATGTTTTGTGAAAACTGTATAAAATAGAGCCATGGCTTCATTTTTTTCTTGAGCCCAGACATCAGTTACACAAATGATTGTCTGATAGCAATTTTTGAATGCTTACTAAGATTGAGATTTGGGGGTTCAGTTACACCCTTCAGTTATAATATTCCTTTAAGAAGTGGCAACTTGCAATGTAATTTCATTCTGGTAACTCTAATAAAGTGCCTGAGCATCTCTGCTGAGCCGTGCGTTCCATCACATGGCCCAAACAATCAATCTTCAGGCAGAGATTGGGAAGAACAGCTGGGCTTTTGCAGGCAACGGCTGTATGTCTGCCCTTGCTAGGCGATTAGCGTGATGGTAACCATAGTAACTAGAAGGCCTCCATAGCAACGCATAGCTGAGACAGGTGCAGTTACATCACAAGGCTGTTTGTTGCCTGGCAAAAGGACAGGCCATTAGTACTAAGACATGCACTGTTGCCTTGGTAACAGATAACCTTACATAGAAACTACAGTGGGTTTGAACATTTTATCATCCTGATTAAAAAAAAAGGTGGGGGAGACATTTCATTTTCTTTTCCTTATTTTTAATTTGATTATTAAGAACTCCTTATGTATGGTCATTTGAAGTTACAAAATGTTTTGTTGTAGTAAAAAATGAAAGAATAAAGAACAGCAATTGAAAGTTTTATATTCAAGTGATTATAACTTAAACGTATTATAACTATAATCTACAGTGTCTTCCTGATCAATGAATTCCATAAAAAAAAAAACATTTGGTTTATGGTTCATTCTGTATTATTCATGTATGAATTAGGAAGCAGATTCGTTCTCCAAATGTGCTGGAATACAATTCAATAATTCAACTAAATCCAGAAATTCACTGGCTTGCTTGGAATTTTGGTAATTATAAGCTGCTGCTGCAGCATTTGGAGGGAACCAGATTGGAGGAAGGCTGAGCTAGTTAAATATTTTGCAAGCATACTGGGTCACATTATATGCTTCAGCAACAATAACCCTCTTCTGCAAAGCTCTTGTTATATGTGCCATTCAAATATTTATTTTGATTTTTTCCCCCCATTAAGTGAAGAATACAATTGGGCATGCGAGAAAGCTTCAGATAGTCTACAATGAAGGGCCATTTTGTCTTTGCCAGCGTATTGTAGATATCATATTTGGTGTAATCTCAGTTCTTGGATGCAATAGTGCAATGTTGGTGAACCTTTTTGTTCTGGTGTGCCAAAAGTGTGTGTGCCAGCACCCACAGTGCAATGCGCCCCATCCCACTGCGCATGCATGCGCAACATTCCCCTTACCTGCACTACGCATGGGTGTGCCACCCAGTTGATTTTCAGCCTGTTTGAAGCCTTTTTCGCCCTCCCGGAGGCTCGAGGGAAGCCTCTGTAGCCTTGGGAGGCCGAAAAATGGGCCTTTGGAAATACCGGAAATGCCTGCTTTCAGCCTCTGGAAGGCCTCTGGAGCTCGGGGTAAGCTGTTTTTGCCCTCCCAGTGGCTCGAGGGAAGTCTCTGCAGCCTTTGGAAGCCAAAAAATGGGCCCAAAATGGGCCCATTTTTCAGTCTCCTGGGGCTGCAGAGGCTTCCCTCGAGCCTCTGTGAGCCAAAAACTGCCTCAAATGGGCAGGAAATCAGCTGGGAGGCGTGCGCATGAGTAGTGCAGGTAAGTTTTGCTGGGACTCACATGCCCACACAAATGGCTGTGCGTGCCACCTGTGCCATAGATTCACCATCATGGCAATAGTGTAACAGTAATGGTTTAGAAACAGTGTATTCCCTCCCTTATCCTACTTGTTTTGAATGTTGTTGTTGCATTCCACTTTTTGTATGGGAAAAGAAGATAATTTGAACAATGTGACTCTCTCCATACAGAGGTTTTCTATGTTTATTTGACTAGGTTTGACAGTAGGTTTCAAAACAGTTTTTTAATTTGTTTCAGAATTACTATCATTGAGACAATTGACATAATGCATTTTATGTCAAAGCAAATACAGCTTTAAAGTTTTTCTGTGATACAAATAAGCTTACGTACCAACATATTTACATTCTTAAAGAAAACAATGTGATTAAAATCAGTTCAGTTAAGGGATATTTGTTGATGCATTAACCAAACATTAAATTATTGCTTGAAGTTTCTTGGCCAGGCAGATCTGTGGAAATAAAATGTATCAAGTCTGGGTGAAGTTGTCGCTATTCAAGTGGTACCAAAGAGCAAACAGGGACAAGGGTTCTACTCAAACCTGTTTGTTGTACAGAAAACGTCGGGGTGGGTGGGAGGTGGAGATCAATTCTAGATCTCAAATTACTAAACAGACACATAGTGTGCAAAAGATTCAAGATGCAATACCTACAGTCTATACTAGGGAGCATCCGAGAGGGGAATGTCCTATCATCAGTAGACCTTACTTGCACATACCAATTACCAAGAGGCACCGAAAGTTCCTGCAGTTTTGTTATACAGGAAGTCACTACCAATACAGAGCTCTACCATTCAGCCTGTCCTCAGCACCAAGGACATTCACCAAGGTACTGGCAGTGGTAGCAGCTTATATCAGGACAAAACCCATACACGACATATTAATACATTCAACATCGACTCTAAGAGCAAAGAGAGACTTAGAAACCACAATACAGACATTACAGGAACATAGATTTTCGGTGAACTTTGAAAAGAGCCACCCAGAACCGACAAGGTGGCTAGAACATTTAGGAGCAGTAATAGACACCAGCTCCTGTGAGGTTTACCTATCACAGGAATGACACAACAGCAAAAGATCCTTGATAAGTCAGGTGGTCACAGCCCATGGGTGACCCTGGACCTACTGTCACATAGGGAAGATGATATTGTGCATCTCAATAGTACCTTGGGCCAGACTGCATGCAAGAACCTTACAGTGGTTCCTATTACCTTACCAGAGAGCAGGCAAGGGCAATGCAGAGACCAAGGTGTGGATCCCTCCCAGAGTGAAGCAGTCACTCCAGTGGTGGAGGTTGCAGGCCATGATCAGGGGATGTGGGTTCAAGGAACCCACCTGACTGACCATCACAACAGATGCAAGTTTAGTAGGCTGGGGGGGCCCACTGTCAGAACCAAATTACACAGGGAGAGTGGTCTCAGACAGACCTCAAGAACAACATCAACTGGTTAGAGCTCAGGGCAACTCACCTGACCCTAAGGTCTTTCAAGTCAGGAATAGTGGGACAACACGTGTTAATCCTAATGGACAATGTGACCGCAAAGATGCATATCAACAGGTAGGGAGGCACTCAATCCCTAGCACTCATACAAGAAGCAGAACGATGGGGCTGCTGGGCGGAGATACATCTATCAATCAGAGCAGAACTTATATCGGGAGTGGAGAACACTCAGGCAGATTGGCTCAGCAGAACAACGGTCGACCACTCAGAGTGGCACCTACACCTAGACTTGTTCAGGGAACTGTCACACAGATTAGGCAAACCAGTCCTGGATCTGTTAGCGTCTATAGCAAATGGACAACTCCTGAGATTCTACTTGAG